AACCAGCACATCACTGGTGAACCCCACAGACTGTTCGTTCCCACCACACACTGAACCAGGGGAACACTCCGCCGAGCATCCGTCATCACCTATAGGCAACACAGACATCCCGAACCGAGCGCCCCCCCTAAGAGTGCAGTTGGCACTCCAAACGAGGAACCACCGACTGTTTGGCACTACTTAAGGGTGCTCGGTTGGGCACACAGAGAAAATACTTAGAAAAAATCAGAGGGGGGACAGACAACAGGAAAAAGACTGACAAACATAAAACTAATTGTGTGTGTGTGTGTGTGTGTATTATATATATATATATATATATATATATATATATATATATAGAGAGAGAGAGAGAGAGAGAGAGAGAGAGAGAGAGAGAGAGAGAGAGAGAGAGAGAGAGAGAGAGAGAGAGAGAGAGAGAGAGAGAGCGAGAGAGAATTGCAACACTTAGGGTGTAAGTGACCAAAAGCACAACGATAGATGCTTAAACCACCACCCCCCCCGACAACCGAAAACCCTCGGCCCTATGAGTTAGAGCCGGGTTCTAGGGAGGGGTGGCGACCGTTTGTCACCGACGGGTCATATCCTGCCATTTGAAAGCTGCAACTTTGACAATTTTTTTTGCTCATAATAATTTTTCAAAAATTCTGGAGTTTGAGGGTCCGTAGATTAGGTCGTGATCTTTCAATGAAAAAAACAGAAAAACAAAATGAAAATTGACCATGAAATAATCCCGACGCTGATTGAATGCATTTTTAATTTTTGATACGAATTTCATTTTGTCATTCGTCCGGGTCTCTACTCTATGTTGCCGGTACCGCTCATAAAACGGTGTTACCGGTGCCCCGAGGTGTTCAACGTCGGGGGTAGTGGTGTTCTTTGTATTCGAATACAACACATGCGCATTTGATTTGAAGTGTCATTCTATTTGAGAAAAGTGGATTAACTTTTACGTTTCAGGCCTTGGGGGACCCATGAGCAATGTTGTTTTCTTTCGAGGACCGCGGCCAATACCAGTCCTGCACCTGCAAGGACTGTCAGCTCCCCCTAAAAGCCCCTGCCTTCAATTGTAACACCCTTCCAGCCACCATTGGGCCCGACGACGAAGATGACTAAGGTGTATAAACACAAGGCTACTGGATGCAAACTTCTATAAGGGTTAAGTTAAGGATCTTCACGATTCCAGAAAACCACCCTACCATATCAACGGGGACCTTGGGATTTGAACCCAGGTACAATTATCAGTTGTTTTCATTATTTCAGATATATATTACCTATATATGTGTCAGATTTTGTAGTTCGCAGCCCGTCAGGGTTGCGTTTTCCACCCCTGAGACATTTCAATGTCAATCAAATTTCAACGTCGGTGATCGTCAGGAGGGTGGGCATTTTGAGGTTTTGAGGCCTTGCAAGGGCCAGGACCGCGTAGGACCGGTAGCTGTTCGTAGGAGGCTGAGGAGGCCGCGATCCTTTTTCGAAATTGAAACGGTGCGGATACACTTTTCTCGAATAGTAAAGTTCCTCGAATAGAACGTGCGTGTTGTATTCGAATACAAAGTGTACCCTTTCTATTCGGATGTCGAAAATAAAAAACTATTGTATTCCAATAAAATTGCTAGTTCCTTTTTTTTTCGAGGTCAACGCCTGCCCTTGTGCTCCCCGCCACTGACATGCTGCATGCTGCAACTCTCTCTTTCTCTCTCACACACATACACACATACACATATACACACACATGTGCACGCACACACACGCACACACTCTCTCTCTCTTTAACCACACACACACACACACACACACACAGCACACACATTCTCCTGTCTATTGATGGGGAGCGCTACCTGCTGGAAAGTCCCACGCACACTCTCTTCGAGTTGTGTATAGCGAACATGACAAAACATACATACAACATAATCACTACCTTTCCTTTCCCGAACCACATCAACAACGAACTACGGGCTGCGCACCCGTGTCGTCACAGTAAGTCAATAGGCCTCGCTGCACTACTCTAGACTCTCGAATTTTTGAGAGTGAGACATCGCTGCACTTAAGGCCTCGCTGCACTACTCTCGAAATGTGCAAAACGGGAGTGAATCCTCTACTAGAAGATGGAAAGATATACCACCATAAATTTTGTCTTTTGTGCATTTCGAGAGTAGTGCAGCGAGACCCTTACTCTCGATAGGGAAACTCTTGAAACCCGATTGAGAGCTGTCAGAAGCCACACTATAACGCAACTCTCGAAACGTCGAGAGTCCCCCGCCTGCAAAAACTGAATTTGCAAGTGTCCTCAGGGGTTGCCCGCCGAGGGGCTCGTTTTTCGAGAGTGGACCTCCTGTCCCGGCGGCCAGACTTTGTCCCGTAGCGCAGCGGTGCAGCTGTTCGCAGCCCGTCAGGGTTGCGTTTTCCCCCCCTGAGATATTTCAACGTTCAACGTCAATCAACGTCGGTGGTCGTGGGAAGGGTGCGCATTTTGAGGTTTTGGGGCCTTGCAAGGGCTAGGACCACGTAGGACCGGTAGCTGCGCGAAGGAGGCTGAAGGAGGCCGAGGTCCTTAAGCCTTTTTTGAAATTGAAACGGTGCGAGTGCACTTTCCTCGAATACCACAGTTTCCTCGAATAGAAAACACACAGGTTGTATTCGAATACAACCAGTACCCTTTCTATTCGGATTTTGAAAAGAAAAAACTCTTATATTTCGATAAAATTACTGCTTCTTTTTGTTGGAGGTCAGCGCCTGCCCTTTTGCTCCCCGCCAATCGAGCGGCGAGAATACGGGCCTCGCTCCAGTTCGCAGCCCGTCAGGGTTGTGTTTTCCCCCCCTGAGACATTTCAACGTCCAACGTCAATCAACGTCGGTGGTCGTGGGGAGGGTGCGCATTTTGAGGTTTTGGGGCCTTGCAAGGGCCAGGACCACGTAGGACCGGTAGCTGCGCGTAAGAGGCTGAAGGAGGCCGAGGTCCTTAAGCCTTTTTCGAAATTGAAACGGTGCGAGTGCACTTTCCTCGAATACCACAGTTTCCTCGAATAGAAAACGTACAGGTTGTATTCGAATACAACCAGCACCCTTTCTATTCGGATTTTGAAAAAAAAAACTCTTATATTCCAATAAAATTACTGCTTCTTTTTGTTGGAGGTCAGCGCCTGCCCTCTTGCTCCCCGCCACTGACATGTTGCATGCTGCATCTCTCTCTCTCTCTCTCTCTCTCTCTCTCTCTCTCTCTCTCTCTC